TTGGAATTAAGCTTCTTTTAATCAGGTAAAATCTATGCCTCAACTTTTTTAGATTTTTTTTTTTTAATCAATCAATTGTATAGCACGCAGGCCGACTGCAAAATCTGTCTTTCATATTATAAAAAATCAAATTGACCGAACAGCTATTTTTTCCTTAGTTGCAAACTACATATGTATGATCTGAATATTTTTATTATTTTTTTATGTTGATGAAGTCTGTTATGGCATGTTAGGATATCAATGTTTTACCTCTTCAAAACTTTCCCTTCCTGGTTGATTAACTATGCCTTCAACTTAAACATCAGCGTAAAGCTTGTATTTGCGTGGGAACTTAATGTTGAAAGAGAAGTTTAAAACTAAGATCAAATAGTATTATCAATTTTTTTTTTCTTTGGTACGTAAATAACATTATCAATTAGGACGCTGATCAGGCTAGCTCTTCTAAAGTGCAGAAGAACATGGTGCTTAAAATAACCATTTGTAGAACTGGGTAATGACATATTGTTAGGTCACTACTAGAAAACCCTATATTCACCGACTAAATATTACCGACATGAGAGTTGTGGTTGCTGAATATCCTTAAGTTCCTGCTTTGAGCTGATTCTTCTTCGAGTGATCCTGCAAAATCTCGAGGTTGGTCCTCAGGGAGAAACTCCGATGCTTAAGTCAGTATTTTTCTAATCAATCTTTTTCTTTTTTGTTCCGCCTATTTATCGAACCTTACCTTGTGGGCTTTGTCCATCTTGGCAAGGCACCCACGTGGCTTGTCCGCACCCACGTGGCTCAGTCAACCCAATAATGGTGACATAGTGCGCCTGACGGAGTAGACGTTTTAGGTGAATGTAACGTGCCTTAACGGAGTAACCGCATTAAATACGCGTGGTGCCTTCTGACGGAGCAGGTCTCTTGAGAAAGGGTGTTCTGGTAAGGACAAATGATCAGATGAGGGCATGCCTATTGTGGCTGCCATACACTTACTGCGAAATGTAAGGTGCGGTGACCTCTAAGCTCCGCAGCCGAGGTGCGGTGATCTCTGATCTCCGAACTTTGCCTTGTGCCTTGTGTTTTCTGGTATAGCTGCCCTTACAAGAGTTTTTGTCGGTCAATAACGATTTTACCGACAAAGAACATGTCTTTGCTTTATAAAACAGTAAAATTTACATTAATTTATGTTATTTCGAGTACATATGAAAACTTCGTCGGTAACTTCATCCTACAAAAACGTGAAGTTTGTCGGTGATAAGGTTTCCTCTTACCGACGAAGCTGGCATCAGAAATTAATAACCTCCTGCAACCTGCACCTTCTCGGTAATATTCCAGCACCGTTTCTGCTCCAACCGGGCCTGGTGAAGTCAAGGAGCCTACAACTTTTGTGTGTACCAACTAAAATTTGTCGGTGAAATGCCTTTTCTGCAACCATCATCTTCTCGGTGATGGCTCTGGCGAACCAGCCCTCTGATGCAGTGCAGGAGGTGCTTAGCTTTATCACTTACCAATGTGTAGCTCCTTGGTAAGTGATCAACCTTCCTCCTCATCTCGTTGATCCCCCCTCCTTCCCCTCTCATTTTCGTTTTCCTCTTCTTATAACTATGTTTCCCTTTCCTCCATTATTTCCAGCAAGCCAAATCATGAGAAATTAAAGTTTTTTCTTCCCACGGTATGTAGATAGAGAAGTGGTAAGTGAAGTTTAACTAATATTATCATTTTTTATTTATTTTTCTGTTGAATCTAAATGTTTTATGTATTTTTTATATTTTTTTATAGTTTAGACATAAAATATTGTGATTAATTTATTTGATATTAACATTGTCAAATTTGTTATTTTTGGTAAATTTTATAGATGTTTAGTAAGAATTTTTCAGTAATTTTCCGGTGAAATTCTAATGATTAACGATGAAATTCCGGTGAACTTTCCAACAAGCCTTTTGTCGGTAATGTTGATGGCAGGAACATGAAATTTTTGCTTTTCACTTGCCAACATAAATTTTGTCAGTAAATGATGGAGGGAATACAAAATTTTTGCATTTTGACTTTCCAACAAGCATCTTGTCGGTAAACTAAAAGCGGGATTACAAAATTTTTGTAATTTTCTTTTCCCGCTAAAATTTATTTTTTTCCTATGTGTATTATGTCGGTAAAAAAAATTCCGACCAACAGTACATAGGTAAAATGCTCTATATATTATCAGAACAACATAACTTGCTCATTTTTTCTTTCCTTC